AAGCCCCCTTTGAAAGGAGGGTGACAAGTAGCGACCTCGACAAGGTCGATGCATTTAGGAACCCTTTAATCGAGCGATTCGGTAGTCAGGGTAATGACGTGTGCTCGAGCACACGGCTCCACAGTGTTTAGCACTTTATCTATCTCCTCCTTGTTATTAATGACACTCGCTGAGTCAGATGCCGCGGCGAAGTGCGGCATCTTCAGAGTTTAATATCCGAAGAATCGAGTCACTCGGCCGACTACTTGGGCCGCGGTTGGCCTCGAGAAGAGTAGTACACTCGTGGTTCGAGACCGGTGGGCCGGGACATTTCGCTTCCAATATCCTTCACCCTGGCCGAATAGAGAAAGAGAAAGAGGGAGAGAGAGAGAGAGAGAGAAAGAGAGAATCGAGTGTCGCCTATTCGCGGCAAACGAGTACGCTTTTATTTCGCACAAGTACCGCGGACGAGTGGTTCAAATATAAAAAAGAATTCTATCGCGACACCAACCAAAGGACAGAAATTGAGGATCTTGCCGCGAGAGGGAAGCAGAGATCTATCTTTCATTACGTTTCTCGATTATTGCGCGCGATGTGTTTGAACAAAAAATTCGTCGCATGGTATAAATCCATGGATGCACGGATAAAAAGGATTATATGATTTAATATAGATTTTGAACAATGTTTTTAATTTTGACGTGAATTGTGTTCCAAATTTGAGAAATTTGCAAAATAATTGAAATAAAGACGAATCAATCATTGTGAAAATATGGTACAATTATATTATAGTTATAATATATAATATATATAATAAATAGTAGTTATTGTTTGACTTTGATTAAATTCTATTCTTTTTTAATAATCTCGATTTTTATCAATAAATAAAATTATAATATTATTATCCAAAATTGAAAAATCTAATAATAATAATAATTTTTTCTTTCATATCCGCGTTTATTTCTATGAATTCTCATGTGTTAATATTAATATTTAAAAAAATATGAAATATTAATATTAACTATGAATAATAAAAAATCGTTTACAAGTACATAGTAGAAAATGCATATTTTACACTTATCACAGAATCACAATCAGTAGAATGCACGATGAATTTTTTATTAGACATAGCATGCTTCCTATCATATATTATTAAATAACATATTGCATTTCATTCGATAGATAGTCGTATTAATACTACATGCTTAAAATCATTCTTATTATTATTTAGTAGAGGTAAGATAAATTTTATGTGAATAATGTGTAATGATTATCAACTATAATTTATTTAATTAAAAGGTAAGTGATCTTTAATACAAAAATTATATATTGTGTAATATTTTATTTAGAATTGTAAAAAATTTTATATATTCGTTATTCCCTTTTCAATAATAATTTAAATAATTTGATAATTTAAAAGTAAAGAACAGAGATTTGAAAGAAGTGTTCGAAGAATCTTTTTCGTTATAAAAGGAGTTGTTAAATAAAATTGAAATCCATGAAAAATATGAAACGCATGCGAAAACAAAATTGTTGCAATATTTTGCAAAAGATAATACGAAATTGTTTGAAAATCATTATGAAACAAATCTCGGAGTTTTGTCAGAAAACAGGACTTCATGGATGCAAATATATTTGCGAACCTCAACGTTCAATGATAGAAAGGTGAGAAATATAAATTTTAGAAATATAAATTGTTATTTTTTTTTTTTTTAATTGAACATCAATCGATTTAAAATTCATTTGGTACACCGATTAAACGAATTATTGTGTAGATTATAAATAGATATCATTAAAGAAGATTTATTTTCACCTTATCACAATTAAATTCGCGATATAATCGAAAAATACTCATTAAGTGTTTCTAACAGAGTCGTGTGGGCGGTAATGGTGCTTTCATCCCTGTGCATCGCGATTTGGATGATGAAAATTACTTACGAATATTTTATGAAAAATCATATTCTCACAGTGATCGAAACGACGCATCATGGAATATGGAATTATCCATTTCCAGCGGTCACGATATGCGATTTCAATCGTGTATCTCTCAAATTGACAAAAAAATTAGTCGATAATTTGTAAGTTTTTTATTACTTACATTTTCATTTTCATTTTAATTTTTTATTTTAATATTACTTTTTTTTATTAAAAATAGAATTATAATTTTTCATTTTTCCACTTCAAAAATCATTCAAATCTGGAGCTGAAATTGTTATTTCATAGTTTTCAAAAAATTCAATAAAGATTTAACTTCATTGCAGATTATTATTGGTTAAGTAAAAATTAATTAATTAATTATTATTATTATTACAATTATTATTATTATATTATATTATACAAATTATATTATTTACTTGGATTTTGATAATGATAAAAAGGAAATATTTAAAATTCGAAAATTCATTTACAATAAGATATCTTTTATAATAGATATTATAAAAGATAATAAGATTTTAATAAGATATTTTTATTTTTGTTGTAGAAAACTTCCACCAGCTGTGTCAAAGGAATTTGTTGTTGAAGAAATGAGATTACTGGACGAATTGTTATATCCTGGTATACATGGATTATATATTCGAAATAATCTCTCACTATTACAAAATATTTTTGACATGAATTATCTCACAATACCGATCATCATGAATTCTGTATGTAACTGTATGTAATAAACTGTTAATAAAATGTGGTAAATTTTTTAAGAATGTAATGAAGTTCAAATTACGAAGATAACGAACTTTGAATATATTTAAAAAAGAATTTTTAATATTTAATAAGAAAAATTTCTAATTTGAAATATTAAATTTTCATGCAATTTTTTTTTTATGTTTTTTAAATTATAAGCATAAAAATAATTGTTATCAAATATCTTTTATCGTTTATTTATTATTATTTATGTTTCATTATATATAGTTATAAACAGAAACATGGAATTTAAATTTCAGATTACGCGAAGTTGTGAAAGTTTATTAGAATTGTGTAAATGGAAAACAAAAAAAGAAGATTGCAGTAGTATATTTCAAACGAGTATGAGTCGTAACGGTATATGTTGTAGTTTTAATTATATCACTCATGATTTGATTATGAAACAGCCAAGGTATAAAGTTATTTTATATATTTTATTTTATATATTGTTGATTATTAATATCATTTTTTATTTTTATCATATTTTTTCAAAATTTATTTCGAAGCATAAAACCACATAAAATAACTTCTTGTGGATATCAAAGTGGACTCAAAATTCTGCTTAATTTCGATGTTGAAGATTATCATGCCAGTATTGTAGAATCTATAGGAATAAAGGTAATTTTGTATAACCTCTGAAAAAGAAATTAATTACTAAAGTAATTATAATAAAATATATTTTTATAAATAAAAAAAATGATTAAATTAAGAATAATTCAAGAAACGTAATCGAATTAATATTTAATAAATTTTAAATAAATATTTATATTTATATTTTTACAGATTATGTTACACGATCCTTATGATTATCCTGATTATGATGCATCAAGCAAATTAATAGGTGTAAATAAATATTCATTTTTAACTGTTAAACCTATGGAGATTTATTCAACTAAGGATATCAAATGGGTATCTAATAAACAATGCACGTTATATAATGAAGGAAATACAATACCTGATAATTTGAAAAGAAACTTCATTTCTTCAAAATATTCATTCGTAAATTGTTTGACGGATTGTCGAGCAACTGTAATTAAAAAAGAATGTGGATGCATCCCATATTATTATCCACAAAATAGTTAGTTTATTCAAAAATATTACAACATGAACATATCTTGTAAACATGAAAAATACTTGATAATATTATATCTATTAAATAATTATTAAAGATTAAATGGGATAAAAAGAGAAACAATATTTGTAAATTGTTGTTTTATTTATTAATTTTAAAATAAATAATATTCTGTTACAGATACCAGAATATGTAATTTGAGAGATGTCGAATGTCTAGAAACATTTAAATGTAAGTTTAAAATATTAAATAAATTTAAGATTTATTTATAAATTTACTTATAAATATTTATTAAAATTATTTATAATTTTTTATATATCTTTATAATTATAATATATTATATTTATATCTTTATAATTATATTTATAGATGATTTATTTATTAAAATATAAAACGCAATAATATTTTATATTAAATTTTTTTATAATTAATAGCTGAAAAAATATTAAATTTTCAGTTTGGTATGATACCTCTTGGCCAGGAACAGACATGTCACCTAAAACTTTACCGTTTGTAGAATTAGATATTAGAAATAGACCTTGTAATTGTAAACCTGATTGTAATTTTTATCGTTATATTATGGAAAATTCAGCAGCAAGTCTTGACAAACGCGTTTATTATAATGATTTTACCTATACAACTTATTTCAGGTAATTATAATAATTTTTTTATTAGAATTATTAAAATTATATTAATATAAATTGAAAATATTCAAAATATCAAAATATTAAAAAACTTCTATAAAAAAAATTTATTTTTCTATTTTTAATAAAAAATAAGAATTTTTATAAACTCTTATAAATAAATAATTTTTTATATTATTTATTAATAGATCATTAGATATTACAAAAAGATTAATTTTTTTATAGCAAAGGTAAAGCTTGGAAAAATCAAAGTATAATTCATATATTTTTTGGAGATTTAATTTCTATTCGATATCGTCGAGATACGCGTTATGGTTGGCGTCACATATTTGGTAATATTAATTATTTTTGGAAATAATGAATGAATTTAAATTAAAATAGAATATTAATATTAGTAATAATAATAATAATAGTAATAATAATAATAATAATAATAATAATAATAATAATAATAATAATAATAGTAACAATATTAATATATATTAATGTTTTTTTTTAGCAACATATGGCGGTCTTTTAGGGATATTCGCTGGTTTTAGTTTCATGTTCATTTTTGAAATTATTTATTTTTTTGTTATTCGAATTCTAACAGATGCATTTGCAAGAAGAAACACAGAAAACATGAATTAGATGATAGAAATTTTTATTAACAAAATAATTTTGTTAAATATACATATGTTATTGCATTTTATAATTTTATATTTTATGTTGAAAATATTACTTTTTATTTTTTTGTACTTATGCTCGATATTCTGGAAATTGAAAATCCGAAGATAATCGACATGATTTTATTTCGGGTAATTGAGCAACGGAATTTATTCCATTTAATTCTCCTTTTTTTTTCCCTACTAAATCAATTGTTTTTGAAACAGCTTTCAAAAATGTAAGTTTATTTTTTTCACTTTGTAAAATATTGCAAAATTCTTGTATAAACCATGATCCTACGAAATTATAAATTTAATATATTATAATAAATTTAATATATTTATATAATAAATTATATAAATAATATATTTAAAACTTATTATTAAAATATTTATATTATTATTATATATAATTATTTATTACCTTTTTCTTTATGGCGCACAGATACAAAACCTTGTATAGTTGACATGAATATACAAAAATTTCTGTATGCTAAAATATTTTTTGAAATATTACAATTTATAGAACCATCTGTAACTAAACTACCTTCTACTTGTCCTAAAATTAAAAATTCTTATGAATGAATAAATATATATTAATTTTAATATAATAAAATAAAAATTTTTATTACCTATTATTTTTCCTTGACAAGCTTGTATAATAACAATTTTAATAACATCTTTTAATTCTGCATTGCAAAATTTATACTCAATTTCTTCAGTTTTAACTTCTTTTTCATCTGCACTAATAATACCACCTAGGATATTCATAAATTATTATGACATATGTAAATACTTATACATATGAAATACTTATAATACTTATAATTTATTATATTATATAATTACTAAAATAATTTAGTATATCCATACCTTCATATCCATGACTTAAGATGCATACAAAAATACAATCATAATCAACACCAAAAGTTTTTGGAATATCTTCTAACATTGTAAGTATTTCATCTTTTTTTAAATTATTAAATTCTTTAGTAATAAAATCAAAACCTTTAAATGTTTCTAATAATTTCATGCAATCAGTTTCCGTTCCAAATCTGGTTTCATACTAAAACAAAAATATTATATATGTAAAATATATAGAATTTAATTTATATTAAAATAAAATTTATATTGATATTAATGTAATTAGATACCTTTTCTCCTACAAAAAACATTTGATTTATAATAATACAAAGACCCTTTTTTATTTTTCTTATATTTTCTTCATTATTTGATGAAATAGTTTTATGTTCTTTTATAAAAAATGTTTGTAATTGAGATGTATTAACAGAACTAATATGTTGAATATCTACATTTCGATGATTTTCAAGGTTTTTCAAATCATTATAAATGGACTCTAAATCTTCAATTTTCTTCAAATGTTTCAACAAATTTTCAAGTTTTACTGTACCATCTAATAATTAAGAATTACAAAAACTTATATCTATTTATTACAGAAATAAAAAAAATATTAAAATATTGTTACAAATTAAATTAAAAAACAAACCTAAATTTATTGAAATATAATTTTCTTGCATCCAATATAACATATGTAATTCAAGAAAATCTGAATCTTTCAAATTTACTTTATATTCAATAATATCAGTTTTGACATAATGTAATAATAATTTTATTTTATCTTCAGAAAGAGTTTCACATAACAAATATAAACATTTTACAGTTAAATTCACATATCTAGAAAATGATCTATTTTTTGGTAAGTAGAATAAATCTAAATCTTTAAAAGATAATCCTAATTTTCGTATAATTTGCAAATTTTGTATAATACATATAGCTTCTAATAATTTATTTTTCCAATTCTGAGGATATTTATTTATAAATTCTGTAAGTATATAAGCTTTATTTTCTTGATGTATTTTTAATAAATCATAAATTATTTTAAAACTATGCACATAATCAGTTATCATTAAAAATAAAATAGATATTTTTTCATCAATATCAAAATCATCTTCTATTTTCCATAAAATATCTTTGTTTAATATTTTACTTATATCATTATTTAAAACAAGATTTGGCAAAGCATCAATTGATAACATTGCTTCCTAAAAATTTCTACATATAAATTTTAATCTAAAAAGAAACAAAAATATTAATATAAATAAACTCATAATTTAACAACAAATAAATATAACATATTATTACTTATAAAAATAATACTTACTTTGTATGATATTCCTATTTGCAATTTTATTGAAATATTTATATGATTTTTATTCTTTTATTTTATGTAAAATATGATTATTGTTTTTATACAATATATAAAAAATATATAATATATAATAATACAATATATTTTTTTATATTCTTATTCATATATCAATATGTAAATATTATATTATGACATCTTATTTTTTTATTATTAATATTTATAAAAATTCTTTTCTTCAAATTTATTATGATAAAATCAATACAATCAATTGATCAAGATCACACTTTTTTCATCATTCACTAATAAGTAACTAAATAAACCTATTCGAGCATATTTTTTTATTCGATTTGATATTGTCAAGTTCAACATTATTAAAATAAGTTATACATAAAATATACGAAAGTGTCGCATCACATATATTCTGTGTACATATAATCTCCAAATCCCCACTAACAATCTCAATTTATTCTTGTATCATTTCTTACATTTTTATATTTCCTATATGATATTTCTTTATTTTTAACAATATATTTTTCATTAAATAAATAATTATATATTATAATATTAAATGTATCATGAAATTTTTTAATTAAAAACTATTTGAATTTAGCATGTGTTGGTATTTTTTTCTAAATGTATCGAATAAAAATTCAATATGACTTATAACTAATATATAACTTTCAAAAATCTTTCAAAATGCAAAACTTTTTAAATAATTTATAAATAATTTTGGAATTACTGAATTTTGATTCTTAAAATTGTTGTTTTTGAATTTTATCTGTTAAAATAAAAAAATAAAAAAAAATGTAGTATCTTGAACTATTTCTATATCATTTCCATCGAAATTAAGTTTATTCACTAAAAAATTTATAGTGAATTAGCTAAGTTACTATATGTCTAATTACTAGGATCTACAAATCGTGGCAACGCTGCTTCTACAAATATCTTATAAAATTTCTGATGAAATGTAATTAACGTTTTTCTAAAAAAAATTATTATAAATATAGTCATAATATTTAGTAAGTAAAAGTTACACGTAAATATTTTAATTCGTGTGGATTGAATGTACTCTGTATTTTTTTCGTCCTTAAAAAATTTATGGTTTGATTTATATTTAAACTATTTAATTTATATTAATTTTAACCAAATAATAAAATAAAAAATGACTGATTCTAAATAAAATTTTTAAAAATAGGTAAAAAATATGGAATTAATATTAGAAGTATAAAATTTTAAGTTTTTATATATTAATTCTAATAAAAATAGAAATGTTTACTGCATATTTTTTTTATTAATAATCATCCTTGTCCAAAAGGTTACAAACAGGTTTTAAAAAAAATTTAATTACATTTTTGAAATGTTTTGAAAATAAAAGAATAAATATATTTTTTTTTAATTCCTAAAAATTTAGTCTTATAAAATATTAAGAATAAGCCATTTTTTTAAATAAATAGCTTAAAATTTTCAATTATATTTTTCTGGTTAAATATAAATTTATCTTATATATTTATTAAATATACTTTTTGAATTTTTTATTGTTAGATTAAAAGAGATTTTTTATTATTTCCATTTGTCTTTTGATTAAATACTTTTATTATATATCTACATATCTTATAAAATATTTCTATATATTTATATAGCAGTGGTTTGATTGATAGAATATTAATTGATACGATTTTTATTTTATTTTATTATTATCTATTTTTTACTTAAATTTATTTTTTTCTTATTTTTTCCATATTTTTCTAAATATACACAATCTATTATTCATAAATAGGATTAAGATTTATTATGTTTGCATTATGATTATGTCATTATTATCATTCATTTATTACATATTATTTATCGTAATGACATATTACGATAAACAAATATTTTATAAAATCGCGGGAATATATAATACTGACTAGGTTATGTTTATACCGAAACTGGACTTTCTTATTGTTACCAGATTTATGTTCAACACAACTTATACTTAGAGTCGGTTGCGGTCAAGTACGTTCTACTAAACAGGTGCTTTGACGTCACGTCATCGTATTTGTGAGTTGTAGATTTATTTCGAAATTAAACTAATTTCAAAATTAAAGATCATGTCTAAAAGTAAGCATCATCAAGTCGATAGCAATATTGTAGCAGTAAAGAGTAAAGTAAGTTTCTTTTTAATGTCGAAGTTCCTATTTTTTTACTATTATGCTGTTATTAAATAGAAATAATATGATGTAGTAAGATTTAAGTATATTTTCTTTCTTTCTTTCTTTATATTATTAAATTTATAGAGAGAATTTCAATTTGTTTTTTATAGTTTGACGCAGATATAATAAGATTTTCAGTCAATCGTAATGATACAATTAATTATGAGGATTTTAGAAAGTTATTAGCTGAGCGACATGATATTGGTCCTGATTTAAGTTTTTTAATATGGTATACTGATCCAACTGATGGTGATTTATTACCTATTAACAATGATAATAATTTAGCAAGGGCATTACTTGCTGCAAAACCATTGCTTAGAATTTTTATTCAAAGAATAAAGGGTAAGATAATTTTATGTTAAATAATTATAAAATATAAATTTATATGTAAATCTATCAATATTTATTTTAAAATGTGTAAAAAAAAAATCTTAATAATAGAAAAAATCTACTTTGTAATAATAAAGAATGTATCTATTGTTTATCTCTTTATTATTATTATTGTTATTAAATAATATTACTAATATTATTATTAAATTTGATAATAATTTTATAACTTAATATTGATAGCATCTTTATAACTTACATAAAAATAAGTTTTTTGTATATAATAGGAGATGGATTAGAAGATATAAATGGATATGGAACAATGAAACCAAAAAATTTAATATCAAGTATTCTTGGTGGCACACCTGGCAAACCAAAATCATTAGCTATATCTAATCCTCATGATTTTAGGCAGGTAAGTTTATTTATTATATAAATACAAATTATAAATATAATTATATATATTATTTAAAATATAAAATACAAATTTTATTGACAATATAATAGGTATCAGCAATAATTGATGTAGATATATTGCCAGAAACTTGTCGTCGGGTGCGTTTATTAAAACATGGTTCTGATAAACCATTAGGATTTTATATTAAAGATGGAGAAAGTTTTCGAATATTGCCACCATCTGCTGGAGGTGGCATTGAAAAGGTTCCAGGTGTATTTATAAGTAGATTAGTACCAGGTGGTTTAGCTGAAAGTACAGGACTTCTGGCAGTAAATGATGAAGTTCTTGAAGTAAATGGTATAGAGGTTGCTGGAAAAACTCTAGATCAAGTATGCAATACCATATTTATTATCTTATTTGCATTTTTTTTATTTATATATATA